TGCGTCGCTAGTACGAGATGCAGCAACGTCGTTCCGTCCTACAAAATTACGTTTAGAAAAGCGCAGCTTTTCGAGGCATATGTACTGGCTCCTGATGGTTGACGTTGATCGCCTCTTGCCGAAGGAGACTGTTGGCGTCCAGAATGCGCTTTTCGCGCAGAGCCTTGGCAAGCTACAAGTATAGTTTTGTATTCCGATAGTCCAACAAATGCGCATCAACAAATTTACCATGGCGGTTTGCAAAAGCTCTTGGACTTGGACACGACCTTTTTCTTGAGCGGCCATGAGTGGCGTATGGTTCCACTACAAGTCCAAATTTGATGGAAATGAGTGAGGATTTTGTGAAAACGTACGTAATTTGTCGCATTGACGTTGGCGCCGTAAGCCAAGAGAAGACGAACGGTCTCCACGTGATTGTTTTGCGAGGCATAGTGCAGTGGCGTGTTGAGAAACTACGCAAACGCAATATGTGAAATTTGCGAATGAAAAAAAGACGTTTCGGACAACACACAACGTACGGTGGATTTGGCTTCGATGTTGGCGCCTTTTTCAAGCAAAAAGCGGACAATCTCCAAACGATCACACATAGCAGCTTTGAGCAGTGGCGTCCAACCAGTCTACTCCCATAGACATATCCATAAACATGGTGGATCGATGGAGGAAGAGTACGCTGTCGTAGCACTCGATGTTGACGCGGTCGTTGAGAGCGGAGATGACGGCAGCCAACTTGCCATCTCGTGCAGCGTTGAGAAGCGCTTCCTACATCATCGCATGAGCATCGTACCATTGGCGTCGTCGTCCGAGTACCTCCTTCGCCTTCGTCTCCCTCGCCTTCTCCTTGTGCTCCGCCGTCTGCCACAACCCAAACATGTTGCAAAATGATTAGCGATCGCATTCCCCCCTTTTCATTGGCTGATTTTTCTCCAATCCACGCACGATGTTATCCGTATCCGCCCATACTTCAAGCGTGGACCAAGCCTCCGCAACGTGGTCTGCCCTTTTCTATCAAGTCCCTTAATGTTTTAGGTTGTCATTGGTTCTACCACCAACTTGACAAAAGTGACGACGTACAGGTGCCGAAATGCTGGCGCTGGCG